TTCGTCCCTGAGCGCGGGCTCTACGCGCGCTCTGATTGGCCAGTGTTTTTCGTTAATAATTCAAAAATGAAGCTTCAAACAACATTTTGGTAAAGGAAAAAGTTGTTCAGAGTCACCCCAGCAACTCCCCATTTCCGGGTGTTCGAGGAGTTACGGGACACCCTGTATATATAATGTTCCATTTAAAAAAATTAATTTGACCTTGATATCTCCTCCACTACTTCACTCCTAGAAAAAAAAAAACTATACCACATTATGTCTCCCATCATACCAAACAACTTTTGTATAAAACTTTTCTCGATAACTTCAACTTCTTCTGAGATATTGCACTGTGATGTCAAGTTAAAAAAGGCACCCTGTAGATTTAAAAGAGATAGATTTTCATTTAGTTACTTGGAGCACGCGCTTCAACATTCAACTTAAGAGACATTCCCAGTGAATCGGCATACTTAAACAAAATCTGAGATTGCTAACGGTCAGACAAGTGTAACAGATAGTTGCGAAAAATGAAAATGTTTCGAACTGTGTCTGAAACATAGACGAAGTATCCATGCTATAAAGTAACACGTCCAGCTTATTTCGAACGATACAACATAGTTGAAGATTTCAAGCTGGTCAAACAAAGCAAACGATCACGCGGTAGAGATACTTATTTTTGTCAACTGTTAACACTGTACTAATGAATCTTGTACACAGATACACAGAACAGGCGAAAGTTTAATACGCGTACAAAGGCTCTACCTTTAGGCAGTCGCGAACGAGTGTATTCGTGAAATAAAATCTATGCAGAAACTTTTTCCATCTTTTGCATACCATTTTATTACTTATTTTCGTTCGATTTCTTTTTAAACAGTCCATTGTTTGAATAGTTTATTGTATTCGGTGTAAATAATGCAACAGATAAATTTGTTTTGTACGTATAAAAAAAGAGAAACTCTCGTGATAAAGAAATTTCAGAAAATAAATCAATTTATATGAGAAAATCGTATAGAATACGAGGAAATAAATCAATTTATTAGGTCTGTGCAAAATTTCAACGTCAAATATGACAAATGAAAACTAGCGAATAAAAAATTTGTAATATTTTCATCACTTTCATCTTCGTGGGCGATTTTCACCCTTTCGATGTGAACGATCGTCGATAAAAAAGAACGTGCAAAGCTGCATTTACCATAAGACTAAGTAGGCGCGAATTGGGGCCACATTTTGAAACCTTGTGTTATTTTTATTTTATTAAAATGTAATAAACTTTAAAAGAAAATGTCTACGAATTTGATTAACTGAAATAGACTTGTCCTTTTGAGTCGTCCTAATAATGTTGCGCCTAGGACCTCCGAAAGTATAAAAACGGCCCTGAATACGGGTCAAATAATTTTTTCGAGTATCACCATATACACCAAAGTTTCATCAGTATCGGTGATTATCACTTCGAGATGTTCCCTTATAGAGAAAAAACACGCACGGTGCCTTTCAGTGCCACCGATTTCCAACCGATGGAAACACTCTTGCACAGACCTGATAAAATAGTTTCCTGTAAAATTAGTGTGGTACCTTTGTAGGTTTGTCTTTTTTTTCAGATAGTAGTTATTGAATACACCCATCCCTCTATTTACGCGGTACTTTTTTACGCGATATCATTTTACGCGGTTAGATGGGCTCAGTTTTTTATAAACTTTCATTGAATTTATTACATATCAGAGAGACGCAGATTCTTACTTGAACGTACTAATTACATAACTCTGACCTTTTTTGCTTTCCTTTTTTAACCTCTTTATCCTACGATTTAAGTTTCACAGTACAGATTCTGACACCGAATGAAACTTATTTTGCTTTCCTGAAATATCATTATGTTTGTTTATCAACCTTTGCGATTTAAATGTTTTCATAACTTATACCTGTTTCTCTTACCATGTTTTTTTTTCCATACAAGCAGACTCTGTTTACGCGATTTTTATTCGCGTAAAAAAAATCAAGGCGGAACGGTCAATCCGCGTAAATGGAAGGATGTATGTATATTTACGTGAATAAATAGTTATTACAGTAAGTAACTTAACAGTAGGTTTACGGGACGCGTGATTTGGACGCATTTCGAATTTCACAAGGAAAATTACAGAAATCGTTTACATTTCTCTCCCTACCATTTACGCTTATTACAAATTTTATATAAATATATAATATCACATAGTTTCATTTATAAGTTAATAGTGTATAATATGTTGTTTTTAAATTAAAAAAGTTGTTTTTTAAAGAAAATCTGCGGTTTCGTTCACTCGTCAATTTGACGCGTGTCCGCAGAGATAGGTATATAAGAAATGTCCGTAAACCTAGTGTTAAAGTTGATATAAATGGTTTATCACGACGACGACAATTTTCACAACAACAGCCAACAACCTTTTTTTCATTCGTCACCCTTTCTATTTTTCCTCGTCGCTTCCCTATTTGGGTAATTGACTCCCCGATACTACATTAGTCTAATTAGAAACACATTTGTAAGACGAAGCTGAATTCTGTGTTTTACCTAGAGCCACGAGACAGAGAAGAACGCTGTACGAATGCAATCGGATGAAACAATGTTGATCAACGATTTCCGCACCGTACTGTCCGAGCTGAACTCTCTGGAGAAGCTGGATCTCGTACGGGGTGCACTGAAAGCTCTGGAAAGCGAGAACGAGAGGCACAGCGAGGCTGACAAGCACGAAAAGTCCGACTTCAACGAGAAATTTCAAAGGCCTAGCGTGGTCGTCGATCACCAGTCGTCCATCGAGTTCAACAAACCTAATTTCGACGTGAACACAGAGAATCACAAGCGGCACGAACGATTTATCGAGGCTTCCAGTAACAGGGAGTCCGAGTTGTGCAAGAAAGTGGAGGAGCTCGAGGAGGAGAACAACAGATTGTTCGCCAGTATCGAAATACTCGACCAGCAGCACGAAGAATCGCTAGGTGAACGAAGAGAATTGCTTTTTCTCTTTTTTTAATTTATTTATTTAACCCTTTGACTACTGTTGGCGCCTAGAGGCTCTTAGAAAAATTGCTCTTATGATACTGTAGGCACCTGAAGACGCTTAGAAAAATTGCTCTTATGATACTGTAGGCACCTGAAGACGCTTAGAAAAATTGCTCTTATGATACTGTAGGCACCTGAAGACGCTTAGAAAAATTGCTCTTATGATACTGTAGGCACCTGAAGACGCTTAGAAAAATTGCTCTTATGATACTGTAGGCGCCTGAAGGTGCTTAGAAAAATTGCTCTTATGATACTGTAGGTGCCTATAGGCGTTTCGAATTGTACCACTCTTTACTAGATTATCAGATATATTGTGGAAAAAACCTTAAAGTTGATGTTAAATTTTTAGTATGTACAATAACAATTCAATACAGAATACGAATAAATAAATATTGGTTTTTTTCACTGTTTTAATTATTTCAATATACTTTCTGAGAAATGCAGGCCTAACGAAAAATTTCGCCGTTCTCGGTGCAGGTTGAGACTGAAAACCTACCGTATGGTACAACTGGCACGTCTCAAAGTCTGCCGTAGTCAAAGGGTTAACGTCGCATCAGGTTGTATGCCATTAACGACCACACATTTCTACGTTGTCTTTTGTATTATAAGAGAATTGTATAATATTTTCAACCCCTTCACGATATAACAAAAACAAATCGATGGAAAAATTCTACACTGTTACATTGTCTTTTGTATTGTAAGAGAATTGTATTTTCAACCCTTTCACAATATAACAAGAAAAAGAGAAACTGCGAAAAAATCGATGGAAAAAGTGCGTTAGATCATGTTGAAAGTTTCCGGCGGTTTTAAGCTGTTTATTGTGAAAAAAAAACTAGAGATTCGAATGTTTACCTTTACTTAATTTTAGTGAAAATTGTTAATTAATTTTAATTAATTATCTTGCGACACGCTGACGAAAGTGTATCGAACAATTATGGAAATTATTTGGTGTAGAAATGAATTCCTTCCGACTGTATTCGCATAATTGATTCAAAGCCACCGAATACTATCGCGATAGTATTCGCAATCTGCCAGAAAAATAGCATAAGATCGTCGACAATAATGGAAATAATTTCGATGATTGATCTGTTTTCGTTCTTTTTAAATGAAACACTGATTATTGTCCCCGGAAGTCGCAAAGAATTCATTTCTACGCCTAATATTTTCAATGAAAATGTTTAACTTCAATGGAATTGTTTTTTTTCTTTTTCAAAATGAACTTTCAGGATGAGCTAATGTATCATTCTTTTTCGCACAAATTGCATTTGCAATATTAGATATAAGAATACGCTGATAAACTGTAACCCTTTGCACTCGAGAAGCAATAACCAGCATTGCAATGCATCAGCATGATTTTCTTCTATTTTTAATGTTCACCTTAACAAATGTTGCACCTTATGTAATGTGAGAATATATTATCTCCTTATGTTGTCACGAATGTGCAGATTTGCACTTTTTGAACAAAGAAGTGGACTGAATGAGACTAAACTAAGAGAGACAATAAAACATAAATTTAAATGTGAAGTGAAGACTGATATCTTGAAGAAATTTCGAAAATTTTCATCTTCAGAATGATTTACTTACATTTTACATTTAATTGTCAATTTCCATAATTTATCGAATCGCGCGTTCGTGGTATTGGCATAAGGAAGAAATATTGAAGAAAAAGAATTACACCCATACGTATCTATATAATATATTTTGAAGTTCGTTTTGAATAATTTCCACAAATTCCACAAAAAAGAAATCTCGTAGTGAAAATTCGAAGTGCAAACGGTTGGCGAATATAGAAAATTATTCATTTGTAATTATCCAGTCGTTCTTTAAATTCACAGAAAAGCTGCTGTCTATGAAAAAAGAGCTCGAGAAGAAGCACCAATGCCTTCAAAACGCTTACGAAGAACTTTACGTGGACTACAGACAGGCTCAAGACAGTGTCGCCGAATTGCAAGGTAAATTCACGGATTCGAACAGGAGGATACAAACCGAAACCGTCTCGTGTTCCGTGCAAACTGAAAATTTCGAAAACGTGCAAGAGAAACACGTACAGACGAACGTTCCACAAATGATCGAGGACAAGATCGTCCAAACGAACGATCCAGAAATGATCGAGCACAAGATCGTCCAAACGAACGATCCAGAAATGATCGAGCACAAGATCGTCCAAACGAACGATCCAGAAATGATCGAGCACAAGATCGTCCAAACGAACGATCCAGTAATGATCGAGCACAAGATCGTCCAAACGAACGATCCAGTAATGATCGAGCACAAGATCGTCCAAACGAACGATCCAGTAATGATCGAGCACAAGATCGTCCAAACGAACATTTCAGAAATGATCGAGCACAAGATCGTCCAAACGAACGATCCGGAAATGATCGAGAACAAGATCGTCCAAACGAACGATCCGGAAATGATCGAGGACAAGATCGTCCAAACGAACGATCCGGAAGTGATCGAGGACAAGATCGTGCAGACGGACGATCGAGAAATGATCGAGGAGAAGAACGTCGAGAACGACGTCGACGAGCTAACGAAAAGAGTGAAGGACATTTTGAAGAACTCCAGCGTGGAAACGGAAGAGGGCGAGTCGATCTTCGAGGCGGTCGCGAAGCAATACATCGATTTGAAATGGAAGAAGGACGTCTTGGAGAGAAAGGTGCTGGAGCTGACGAAGGAGCTGAAGGAGATCGCCGAGGTTAAAGACAGCCTGCAGATCGAATGTCGCATGGAGAAATCGATGACCTACTCGCTGTTGCACGAGTTGCAAGAGATTCAAGACTTGAAGTTGAATTTGTATTCGATACCGGAGGCGAACGAGGAACGGGTCGTCTCGTTGGAAACGGAAACGGAGTCGCTGCACGACGAGGTGAAGCTCCTCGAGTCAGAAAACGCCGCTCTACGGATGGAGAACGCCGTGTTGCAGGGAGCTGTCTCAGACGAGACGCTGTTAGAGAGTCAAGATCAATCGGAAGCCGCGGCTCAGTGTATGAAACCGACCAGGTTGGAGGATATCCCGGAGGATGTCGAGGAGACCGTTAACGCGGTTTGCGAGAGATGCAAGAGGCTGGACGAGAACGCCGAACTCGTCGAGGAGTTGAAGCTCGAGCTTCAAAACATGAGGCAAGGGTTGAAGACAGTCGTTGCTAACGAAAGATCAACGGGCGACAGATTGAGAGATCTTCAGGAACAGCTGGATAAAGCTACCCGCGAGAAACTCACCTTGGAACGTAGTATGTTTAACATAAGGGAAGAATTGGACGACGCGTTGAACCAGTTGGATATGAAGCAAACCTACATACTGGAATTGAGCGAGGAGAATATCGGTTTGAAGAAGAGACAGAGTTTGTTGCACGAGGAATTAACAGAGGAGAATAACAGTTTGAAGAAGAAACAGTGTTCGTTGCACGAGCAATTAAGCGACATGCAGTACGAGTACGAAAATAAAATAGATTTGTTGAACATAGAGAAGATCGATTTGGAGGAAATGATAGAGATCATGAACGCAGATCTAGTCAGATTGGAGGAGTCGTATGAACATCTGCGTGAAAATATAAAGAAAGAGGAGGAATTGAAGTACAACTCGAAGATTAGCACGTTGACAGAGAAATTAAGCTCCGTGGAAAACGATCACGCTCGATTGTCGAACGAAGTTGAAACGTTGCGTCTGAGGGAAGGGGAGTTCGCGAAGTTGCAAGAGAATTTTGCGAAAGTTACAGAAGAAGCTAGGACTTTAGAGAGCGAATACGAAACGATTAAAGATAATTGTAAAAAATTAGAAAACGAGATGATGTGTTTGCAAACGGAGAAAAGAGAGCTGTTGAGTCGTTTAAACGAACATGTCTGTGATAATGATATGCAACAAATTGTAGCTCTATTAGAGGAGAAAACCCGTGAGAACGAAGCGTTGAAAATCGATAACAGGGAATTATCGGAGAAACTGAACGATTCGCAAAGAAAATTGCAAGACACCATCGATGAGAAAATAGAATCGGCTAGTATGGCCAAGGAGACGATGCAAAACACGTTTCACCTTATCAAAGAGAAAGACGAGAAAATCGACGAACTGAATAAACTGCTGAAACTTGCCAAGGATGACGCGCAAATGTTGGAACATTTTGCCACGATAAAGAACGAAAGGGACGAGCTTGTAAAGCTTGTTACCATCAAGCACAACGAAAGCGTACAATATCACGGGGAAATTCAAAAGTTGTCGCAGTCCTTGACAGAACAGGCGACGATGATTCGAAGCTTGTTGGAGGAAAGAGACACGGTTCTGAACGAATTGAAGGAGAAAAACGCCGAACTTCTATGGACGAAGAATGAGTTACAGGCGGTTCATCAACGTTTGAGAAACGCCGAAGAATCGAACAGCAAGGAAACATGCGGGATCGTCGAGCATTCGACGCAAACGTCGGAGATCGCGATTCTCAAAGAGAAGTGCAACGCGTTGGAGGCAGCCTTGATCCAAGAGCAATCGAACAACAGGATGCTGCAGAATCAGTTCAACGAGAGTCAAAGCAAAGAGGCGAATGCAGGGAAGGAGCTGGAAAGGCTGCGAGCACATTTGGTTGAAATGGAATCGAGCTACACGGAAGAAGCTTTACTTGCTGAAGAAACGCGAAAAGAACTGGAGGTGAAGCTGCAGCAGGCTGAAGAGAAGATGAAGAGTAGTTCAACAGCGTACACGTCTGTGAATATAAGGGCGAACCAACAAGTGGAAACGTTGCAGCAACAAATGGCGTTGATTGTCCAGCAAAGGGACGACATACAGAATAAGTTATCCGCTGCTGAAGATAAAATTTTGTCACAGACTGCCTCTTTGTCTAATTTACAGATTGTCCTCGAACAGTTTCAACGAGGTAATTTGAAATATTTTCTTGTTACTTGTATTAGTGTGAGTTAGGAGTTATGAATTATTATCGGTATAACGAACGAATTGTAATGAATGTTGATCATTTTTAGATAAGGAAAAAGATATCATAGCAGCCACGGAAAGAATTCACTCTAAACTAACTGAATCCTATAAAAGGCAAGAAGAATTAGCCATAGATGTTACAAACCTTAAGGTACAACTATGAACGTAACTTGTAAACATAGAAATATGAAAAATATTGTTTATCGAATAGTTAAGAAGAAAAAAAATATATATATGTGTTTCTTAAAATATATATTTGTTAACAGGAACAATTAACCGAAGCTAAAGAATGTTTACAAGCAGCATCCAGATTAAGTGAACAACTTGATAAAAAAACAGAACGTATCCAACAACTGAGCCAAGAAGGTATTCGATTTAATAATTATTATAGAGTTTTACCATTTGCCTGCATCTTATTCCTTTTACCTATCGCATGATTAGCATTATTTTGCAATTAAAATATTACCTCTTCGAGCATTATTTCTCGAGAACAAGTTCACGTAGTTTTGATACATTCACGAAGGAAATTTGTATTTCTAAATTTGGGAAAAATTCAAGCAGAAATATTTCATGTAATCAATTTTGAAACACATCACCCTAATGTCATATTCCAAAATTATTGCTAAACATAAGTAAATAATACGCATATGTGCTTCTTTGGTGTGGCTACAAATATCAGGGGTTTTTTGTATGTTACCTTTAATACGGTTTATGAAATGAAATGAAAGATAATAATATACCAAGTATAATCTGAATACCTTAACATTTTTTAAAATGATGCTTGGAACATTTTAATTATGAAAGTTCGCAGTATAAGTTGCTATGTAACATTAGATATTAAACATTATCATACTGAGAATAATTCGCTAACTTAAATATTAATTTTGTTATATTAAACGTTCTATGTATATTCACATTTTAAAATGCACCTATATTTATCGAACTTACGAGCGAATTCTTCTCGTGTGAATAGTTTTCCCCATAAGCATCTAGATTTAACGAAATTACATATATTGTATTTAGATTAAATTATAAATATTTTTTAGTCTATTCCGACCATTAACTGATATATGTACAAATTCGTAAATATATAACCGCACAAACTTTGCATTGTTACTCATCGTGTGCTATAGATAGTAGAAAAGAAAAACATTAATTGTGAAATAACGTATTAATATCAGTACTGGAAGAATACCGTTGAGATTGCTTAAAAATTCCTTTATGTATAAAATAAGGAAGCACATTCGATACATTTATCCAAAGAATCTGATTCTGTGACAGCTTGCCTATAAATCAGTATATACAAAATATCGCACGTTCTAATTATAATTTATGCACTGGTGAAATGGTTACATCCCACTATAATCATCAGTTTGAGTGTGACCTGTGACTAATCTGCAAAAGCAAACACATAGACAATCCGGTGGCGTAGTCAAATATCAGCTGGTAATTCTGGGATTTTGACAATAGCCCAGGATTCTTGCTGGTATCCGGCTACGAACTGGACGATCGCCTTAGCGCACTAAATCACATCTTCGTTGGCTCATGCATTGCCACTGGTGCTGGTACTATCTTTTCCTATTTTTCTAAATATAAATTCCTATTTTACTGAGGTAAAGTACTGTTAGACAGCAAGGGTACAAAAAATAGAAGATTTAGCTGTATGTTTTGTTTTCTCATTTATGTACAATTACATTTTCTAATTTAATATGTCATAACTTATTTGTTTGTAGTATTAAAAATCGTACGAATATTGCTAAAGTTTCTTTTCATATATCCAAAACCTAACAGTTGATTAGTTCTTGCAATTTATACATTTGAATTATCTGTATAGATATATATATACCATATGAAAATTGTGCATTAGGTAATACATATTATGACCATCTCATAATCCTCAAGGAAAAATGCTAGTAGCCACCGTGAATTTGCAATACTACTGTATTATAAGATTAAGTCATGAAATAATGTAATAGTATTGTTGCATGAATGATTATGTATGTATTTTTATAATCGTTTTGATTGCATCTACAATAACTATGCTACTTATACATTTGTAAACGAGATATAAGCGAACTATGATATTTACTACAATTTGAACTGTTAAATTTGGCAAAGAAATACGTCCAATGGTGGACGAAGATAATTAATTTCACGTACATTGGAATAATATATAATCCGTCTCATAAGCAGAACTGTATAGAGATAAAGTTTGGTAGCGTTAGAGTGGGTAATCTCATGCGGTAACTGTGAGCGTGTGAATTGTAAAAGCTCATATTACCTCGTGGGGTTTCCCACCCGTTACCATTATCCTACAAGGATGAAAATATATATTTAAAAATTTTCATTTTCCTTTCTATAATGCATACATTTATTTTATCTTTTATTATTAATACAAAGTTGTAACTCGTTTGATTTTTATAAAAATCAACTACCAAATTTAAAATTAGTATTCAATTTTTTTTATACTAGTATTGTAATATCTCATATGAACAAAAGTACTTTATTCTTATTATATATAGTCATTTCGAACTAGTTTAATTTATAAGGTTGATGTACCTGATTTTATTTCTAAGGAATTATAATATAATCATATTAGGATAGCTATTGTACTTTAATGTAAAGTATTGTAACATACTAAAGTACTTATTACTATATTAATATAGCTTTCTTACTTCTAGTGGCATGCGTCATAGTTTTGCTAGTATGGCATGATAAATGAAGAATGCAGCATGAGCAATTAAGACATGGGTGTGAGTATTACATCAGGTACTGGTGTGATATTCAGACAACCAGTACTTGTGTTATACTTACGCTCATGTCTTTTAAACCTTCAAATCTGCCGACTTTACAGCGCTGGAATGCACCTGTATAGAAATAAAACATCCAATATGCTAAACTTTTCCTTAAATAGTTCATAATTTTACTGAAATTATATTAAGCATATTACTGAATAATATTATTGTATAAGTTTTTCTGCTACATTATTTATTGACTTATCTTTCTATTCGTATCTTTCTACATGTTTTATCATATATTTGTAGTGGACCGATTAACGAATCTCGTAAACACTGCTGATCGCAGGATAGAGGAGGCAAAACAAAGTGGAGAGGGAAAAGTTGATAAGTTAGTATGTTATACAGTATTATTGGTACAACTTAATTTAAGCATTTCAATACCAGTTATAAAATCTATACATTTCTTTATATAAAAGATGAATAAATTATTAAAAAAGTGCTCATTTTTTCAGAACTCTAGTTAAGAATCTTTTATTGGGTTTCTTATCTTCGCCAGCAGCAGATAAATCTTCAGTGCTCAGAGTATTCTCTACAGTTTTGGACTTTAGTGAAACAGAAAAGGATAAAGCTGGATTGAACAATGCAGCTGTGCATAATAGTTGGTTTTCGCGGTTAAGTGGTGAATCTACCGTTTCCAATAAGGTATATGCATTTTATTTGATAACCAATTTCTCGGCAATTAGTTAATACACAATGTAAAATTATTCGCAGTAATTTTTAATTTAACTACACCATTTTTGCTGCACAGTAAATTTACGGTTCTTAAACTGAATTGATAGCGCTGTGAATAACATATTATCAAAAAGAGTGTGCGATATGATTTGTAAATAGCTATATTTTTTAGGATCAGGAAGCGTCCTTGTCAGCAGCGTTTGTAAGATTTTTAGAAAATGAATCAAAACCTAAGCCACAGTTACCTGCTTTACCAATACAAACATCGGTAAGTATTTTTATTACTTATTTATAATTGTAAAGTTTTTTTATTTCACGGTTTTTTTTTTATTTTTCAGTCTTTATCGCGTCCAGGCCATAGCAGACAACATTCTACATCATCGACGCAGTCTACTTTGTTACTATCCAATGTAAATTTACCAACATTCCCGGATTTCGTTCCGCCCAGAAATACAGGATCTATTTTAAAGGAAGTACTGAAAGATAGCTGATATTAGCATTTCCAGTATATTTTGTGCTTTGTAAATTCTAAGACTGTAGAGGAAATCAACGTTTAATGCATATATTTGTTTACTGAATTACGCTCAATAAGGGTATACAAAAGAAATTATTATGAGATTAATTCAGGGTTCATGCTCTTGTAAAAAAACAAAATAGTATTCTGAGAGCTTCATGTTTATAATGAATTTATGAAAGAATTATTAGTTATAATAATGCATTGTTTTCTTATATTTGCAAAAAGTCTTAATTAATTGTATGTTAGTAAATATTTTATGTAACATTTTATGGTGCTTGCAACAAAAATATTCAATATTCATCTAAAAATTCAATTTCTCTTACGGACAATAATTGAATAATATAAATGACTAAAAATATATTATAATAGTCAATATAAACAATGTAAACACAGAAAATTTTGTCAATTCAACATAATCCGTAACTACACTGTTTTATCAAAAATATTAAGACAAAAAATATATTTCAAATTGTATGTACAACGAATGAAATAGTGAACAACAGTTATTGGCAGTATTGTATCTTTTCACAGATATTTCGTATTACATATCACGGTCATATTACGTGTTACATGTTTTCTTCATTTCATTATCAAAGTAGTACCATAAATTTGATGTAATCTAATTTAAAAAATGATAGGTATTATTTACAGGATTTATTTCTATCTTTGTAATCTTAAAAATTATAATGTTCTGTGAGATAAAATACTTAAGCTATTTCATTTAGTTTGACATCAG